TTTTAATTGGTTTCTTATGAATCTGAATACAGAGAAGTGAAGCGATTAGTGCAAAAAGTGAACTGTACTTAAAGGCTCAAGGAACTTCCTTTGACTTTACTTACATTTCAGTAGTAAAGGCTTTTGCTGTGCAGTTCATTTGTGATTCTAATTGATTGAGAGCAGGGGAATATTAATTAGATTTTTTCAATTTTCGCCTTTATTGAACAATGAAAATCCGATTGCAATTGTCTTGAGTTGTTTGAGTGGGGAAAATATCAAAGCAAAAGGCTTATCGAGCAGACTGAAAATTTAATGCCATTAACTTGAGGCTGAAATGTGTCATTATGGCATTAATAACTTTCAAAAGCGGCTTATCGAACAAATTGACAACAATAGACAACATCCAGCGACAGACTACTTACAATGGATTCCCAGCAAAGCGGCTCAGTAATTTGCTTTTAATAGGAAATTGGGGTAAGTGGAACAGGAAAGCCAATATGTCGACGTCAGGTTATGGCCATTTCGCATTTCATAAGAATTCGTGTAATTTTACGGCGATAATCAATGAATCAGCTGCATATAAGACATCTCCAACAAGGACTAACTTTTTCATTTGAAAGTAATGAAAGACATTCTGTTGCCAAAGTACAAAGTGAAGCTGCGGCAGCAAATAACAAATAACAAATGCCCCCCACCCTTGGGCTCACTTCAGAATGTTCATCTGCACCGCACACACATTCAATTTGAGGGCCAACGAAAATGTGATAAGATTTATGGAGCATCTTCAAATGTATAGGAGGCTCGAAGGGAGTAGGAACCCGGCTGTCTTCTGAGCGTGAATCTCATAAAACAGACAGTGACAGCAACATCGCGTTGAAACCGAGAACGTCAACGCCATTTTACATCTTGCATAACGAGTACAGCAGCCACCAGGAACTACACACATCCGCGAACACTGGAATAAAATCCTTCCGGGACAACCTAATACGAAAATCTGGCTGAAAAAGGGTTGCGCAAGCCATAAATTAAAAGGAGCTCGGCTAGAAACTCCTCTACGTGATATTTTTCACATTAAGGAACTCCTTCTCGAAAGCCTTTAATAAACAATTTTAAATACGGCAAAAAAAGGGGGAATAAAATGTTACCCTGAAGTGGAAAAGTTTAAAGAAAGCAGAACATGCCCTTCGAGGACTTTGTTTTACCTTGTTATAGGAAATTGCGAATTAAAATTAATCCCGAAATGAAGAGTTTACAGGAAAAGTTAAAAGTCAAGCAATTAACAAATTTGTTCCAAAAACATTTTCTCTCACTGAGCCCGCACTCCTGTTAACACAAAAGCTACAGACAACAAGAGTTCCTTAGAAACTCTTCTGTCGCTGTCACAGTCAGCATCACAGTTGGGCGAAAAAAGAAAATTGTATAAATTGGGAATTGAATTGGGATGGGGGGCGAAAACAGGTCCTGCGTGTCTTGCCTGTTAGTTTCCCGCTAGCGTGAGGCAACCCATCATTCGACATCCGGCAGATGTAACCCGATGAAGGACCATTCCCCAAGTTGCGGCCAAGGGGCAACTTATTAAGAGGCCGCAATGTGTTGACAGGCCCGGGCAATCAAATAACAAACTTTTACTCCTCGTGACATCTGCCCCCTCCCCTTTTCCACCCGACTTAACATTAGTTTTGATGTACGAGAACGTATGTTTTCTCTGGGAGGCAGCATCCGTCACGTCAGCCACCAAGCAGCGTTAACTGCAGCACGTAAAGTGCTTAATCGGCTGGCAAGGAGCTGAGTTGAGTCCTCTTTTCAGCACTGTGGGTCCTGGCTTCCAAGATCTCAGTTCTGAGACCTAAGAACCACACATAACCGCTTGGTGACGCACGACTTCGTTTGTTTTTTTGCTAATTGATTTAACCAACGCACACGCCGAAGGGGAAACTTTGAAAGTGCAGGTGGCTTTAATGAACACACAGCTTTAATAACACTCCGATTCCAGGAAAGCGTTGAAACTACAAACAGTAGCGGGAAAAACTTTCAATTCTAGCAATTCTTTTCCTATACAATTTCCTGCTATTAAATTGCCACTTTAACAAGTCCGAATGGAAAACAACTTCCATTTAAGGCTAACTAGCTGAAAATGCGCTTTTCGTAGAAACTTTAAACTAGTGTCTGCAGGTGAAGCTTCTGCTTGCCTTTCCTGCAAGCCGAAACGGGGGAAATAGAAAGAAAGTCCGGGAAAAGCAAACTTTTATAAATTCGTACAGATTAGTGCCTTTCAGCACAAAGTAAAGGTCACTTCTGGCGAAAGATGTGCAGTGGATATCTTACAAATCCATTGAGAATAAAATAAAAATAAAGATTTGTAAACATTTCTCAAAGTTAAAGCAGAGATTTCATCTGGTCTGGTAATCATTTTTTTGCAGACATATTTACCTGTTCTTCCAACGAGTATAAAGGATTCAGATTGCAATATTCATGGGGAGACAAGCGGAAATAGGTAGATAATCCAGCAGGAAGCCTGAAATACAGAAGAATAGTTTCATTCAACCTTAACGAAAGGAGCTCTTTGTGTGGCTTTTTTGTCAAATGTGAAAAGTGGCAAGAGCGCGTGGCAAAGAGATTTGAAAAAAATGGTTTTAGCCTAGGTTTGGTTTAACCTTCTGGCCAAAGAAAAAGATAAATGGGTCGAAAAGTTATTATCCAAGTCACTAGTTAGCCACGAGAAAGTAAAAAAAACAGATACATATGTTTAAATCTCCATCCAAAGTCGAGTGACCGACCACCACAAGTTGTTTACTTTTGAAGACAAAGTGCAAAGTTCTCGAAAATGGCCACGTGTGGGCCCGCCGAGTTTGTTGGCCGCTTGAGACTCGATGGATGCGATTCCGATACTTCGAACACTTTTTCGTTTTGGACTCCTTTGTGGTGTCGTGCGAATGACAATGGCTTACTCGTTAAATATTTATTTATGTTTTCATGTTTCGAAAACACAAGAAAAACACAGCAAGAAATCAACAAGTCCGTTGCCACCCGGGCGGTGACCTTCGATTGTGGGTTTGCCAACTCCCCTGGGGGGGTCACATCGAACGTTAAAAATCAGCAGCTATACTTTATTACCGTATATTGAAATACCGATTGAATGCAATTCAAGGTAAGCCAGAGTTACAACTCAAGGATAACCTCGACCTGCCATAAAAGTTCCTTCAGGTAATCTTCTACCCGGTGGAAGGAGTAATCGCCGTAAGACTTCCTGCTCCTTCCTTGCGACTTCCGCAGTATTAAACCCAAGCAAGGGCATTAATATTAATGCCGCAATTGCGACGTTTTATGTCAATTTATAACAATTTACTAAGCCCTCGTGCAACTTGCATTTTAAAACGAATAAATGTCGTACCCATCTCATTTCAACAAAGGAAGACATAAAGTTAAGCCCTAATATTTCACCAGAAATAAACAATGTAATTCAGGGCAAAAACGAATTGCGTAGACAATAAAACTTGGCTAAACAAAACCACAAAAATGAAACAGCCTAAAGGCTAAAACACGTACTGGGCTGAAGGAAGTAAAAAAGTCTGAAATGTCCACTAACATAACAATCATTAATAATGGAAATAGTCGTCATAGTTAGCTGTTATGAAAAGATTCATTATAGTTTAATGGCGAGGCCGTGAAGCGAACAATGAATAAAGTTACATATTATTACGCGTCCACGTATGAATAACTACCATTCAATGAAAAACAAGTCAGCAAAATGTCCTTTAAGCGTTTCTATAACAACGCGCTGTAATCTTGTTTTTCGCTTTTTGAAACTATTATTAGACGAAGTAGCAAATACCCTTAAATTAGTATTTTATTCTCTGTGTGTCTTAATATGTACAAACAAAATGTAGTAGACTTTCTGGATGGTCACCTTAAGAATCGATACAATCCCGATAACCGATGTTAAGCTAAGATGATGTTATTTAGTTGTATGGATTATCGATTGGATTCTTGGTTGTCGAGTGAATTCGTTGAACTAAAATACTTATGTGTGTTTTGTTGGTTAGTTTTTGGTTGTGGTAACGGGGGATTGGACCAGAACAACTTTTTTTTTGTCATTTTACGGAATTACATGGTAACTGTTAATTGGCTAGCTTGCGTCACTAAAGGTTCATGTTGACAAATTTCATATTTCAAAAGAAATCAGATTTAAAATGTATTTATGTTTAATTAGGTTTATAGGATTTACTTTTTGTAAAAGCAGGATAAGAGGAAGCTGCTAAATAGTTATTTAAAAAGTTTGACCAAATTTTAAAAAGCAGTGGTAATGTAGAACTATTAGTTTGTCTCTGGATCAAAAAAGTTTAAATTATATATAAAAATAAAAAGAAAAAACATTTGTTTAGCTGAAGAGCAACTTTTCGGAAATTTAATTGACGCATTCTATGGTTGGTTAGAAACTGAAAAAGTTCACAAATTGCTTGGCTACTCTTAATTTAATAAAGTTCTTCTTTCTATGTCATTCTTTCAGATGCAGTCATTTTTTAATGAATGGAAATTAATTTACAAACACAAAACAAAGTGTAACTAAATTAAGTAAAGAATTTCCCAACAGTATAAACATTATTTGGTTTATGCAAATAAAACAATCAGTTTAGCCCGATCCCTAGATTAAATTTCATTTTTCCCTGCAAAATGCCAACCTTTAAGCCCACGCGCAGCTCTTGTGTCGCAACATCAGCCAACTCGAACATGTTGCAAGCAATTTCAAGTTGAAGGGCAAACCCTACTCAGTTTTAAATTGCAGAAGACAGTCACCCAAGTTGACATATTAGAAGATATTTTGACGATAATTTGATGGATTACGGGATAACGAAGGAATCGAGGCTGCCTAAATCTAAGGCCAATTTTATTTAAGGGGTCGAGTTGCTAAATCTGTAAAACATGTATTAGTATACATGATTTTCTTTAAACCAAACTATAAATCTTAGGTAGAACCCTCCGAACAACTTTTATACCCAAATAAAAAGCCATTTTAAAAATTATTTGCACTGCATTTAAATACGATTTCTAGAACAATGTTTATATTGACGGGGCAGAGATGGATCGGGGTAAAGGCAGCCCCTCCATTAAACAATATGAAACATCTAGTTGCGGGCCATCAGATGATTCCCGATCCCTCTGCTGGTGCCAGTGCCTCTGTGCGTTCCGTGGGGTGTCCCTAATTTTATGTACATGGGTGGTACTTCTAAGAGATAAAATACTCGTTCGCCTAACAATAACGGTGAGTTTTGAGTGTCAGTAGGTGTAAGTAGAATACAATAGATCCAATCTGGCCTGCTGATCCTACGAGTAGAAGGTCAGCACACTCGTCTGGTTGCCACGCACGAAAAGGAAGGGCGGCATGTCCCGACTAAGACTCTCCAGCCAGGCCATGTACAGCGGTGCGGATACAATGTTCTTCCGGGGCATTGGCAGTGTCATCACCACCAGATCCGATTTGGTCGACTGCTCTCGCAGGTATTCCCGCAGGCGAAGGTATCGATTCGTCTTGTCCTGCACCGCCAGCAGATCGTCATCAGTGATGTGAACTGTGAAGATTTTAAACAAATTATATAAATATATTTATTGAAGATTAAGAACTAAAACTAAACTCACCATCATCCTCGTTGAGGGTCGCCCTACTGCTGTTACCATTCTCGCCCTCCTTCTCGGTCACTACAAAGTCCTTGATCAGCTCGTTAAAGAACTGTGTGGATGTTTCCAGAGGCTTCTTCGTAATATCCGGAATCAGCGTCAGATCCGAGTAGTCAATCCGGAATTTGGACAGCAAACTGGCCATGGAGCGCTGCTCGAACTCCAGCTCCGCCTTTTTGTTAGCCAAAGCATAAACCCTGCAAGCAAAATTGTGTATAGAATCCATTACTGTAGTTAGACCATCAGCATGCTGCTGGCATAAAATGTCATGGAACACTATATACAAACTGAGTCATGTCTAGTTGATATTCAGACAAGTGCATCTGAATAGATGTCCAACTTTTGAAAAATCTGTTGAACATTTGAGAGTAACTCTGGTGGCTTTTCTCTTTTATGAAATGCATTTACGGCATTAAATTTATCACACATACGCATTGTTGACTTTAATTAAAGTTTTTAGTTCTTTTTGTGTGAACTTTCAGAAACCAAAACCTTGGGCTATGCCATTTGGGTATGAAAATTTAGCTTTTAAAGCACACAAAAAGTCAGTACTTTTTCTCATAACAACTTTGTATGAACAATTTTAATTACAAAGTCCATAACTTAAAGACTGGCATCCAGCAGGAATTGTATTAAAAATAACAAAAGATTTTAAAGTGAAAATGAACCTTCATCAGAATTCCACAGCGATTGTAGTGTGAGAAATTAAACGGAATAAATATAAAAAATTCCCTTAAGCATCTGGTATCGAGGCCCCACTTGGCGACCTTGAGATGATAATCAGAAAATCAGCTCTCAAAGGACGAGAACATGGCTGGAAATTCCCAGAGTGAAAATTACCTGGTGTAAGTTCCTCGTTAGCCAGAAGAGCAGAGATAAAGCAGACAACAATTTCGCGGTAATTCGCGATATTCTCACCTCAATTTGCAGGATTGCCAGGTGCGCCTGGTACTGATGATGTAGGGCAGCAGTAGAGTGAGCCCACCATCGTCGTAGAGCCACCAGACATCGATGACGGCGTGGCTACGCTTTCTAGTGAACTGGGTGAGGTCCGAGAGGACCTCCTTAGGCAGCTCAACTCCCCCGGGACCCTTGTACAGGGAGGCCGGGTCATCATGTTTCAGCTTCGACTTGCGCAGCGAATTGCTCTGCCAAATGCACAATAGTTAATCAAATGCAACACACTAAGTAATTGAGTTTCCACAGTTACCACAAGATTGGCTGTCTTAGCGTCCAAGGGATCAGGCATGCCGGAGACATCCTTCGACTGATTGCCCGCTATGAAGGACAGGTCGCTCGTGCTGGATGCTAAATGGAAAAAATGAAGTAGAATTTTAGTAAAAATATCCAACAAGCTATGGAAAATAGCTTGACAACATCATTTCATTCCGGGCATGCACAGACAACAAACAGTGCAGCAGCACAGCCCAACTGATTTGCCATTTTCCCATCCATATATATATATATATATATATCTATATATTCAAAACAAACAACAACGGACCCCTTGGGCCACGTGCTGCCACCATGTGGGCCAGTTAGAGTACCGATTCCCCAACGACATCCGCCGCCTTACCGGACATTGTTCGAATATAATTTAAAATTCAAATTTACGAGCATTGCATTAATTTTACAGTCCGGAAAAAGGTTTTCTACGCGCCCAGATGTTCAACCGCTGACGGGTTCGCCAGGACCAGGCCAACTAGGGGTCTTTCAATTTGGCCATAGATTGAGGTTAGTTTGGCTGTTAAATGTCGTTAATTTGCTTGAAACTTTATGGCCTGATTGCGAGGCAAGGCAACATGCAGGCAGCTGACATGCGTGGTAGAGTGAAAGTGTGTGTCACTGTGGATGGCTTCGGCATGGAGCCCATTCGTATTCATATTTACCTACTCAGCCTACAACAACTTCACATTCCATTCAAGTGCTTTATGACACGCAATCTTAGCAAAAACATAACATCACCTGCACCTGGCCACGAGCGCATTCTCCGCAGGCTCTGCTTGAATCGCACTGCGGTTCGGTTCGATTTCCCAGAAGATACGATGAAAATACCGATATAATTACGGGGATTTGCTGGTCGGGACAGCAACTTGCTTTATGACAAGTTTGGTAGGGTGGACCACTCTTTGAATCTAGGCTTATTATTCATTAATTACTGATTACGTGTTCAGTTCATAATAGATAATATTTTATGTTCATAAATGTTGATTTTTTGATTAAATGTTAAACTTGATAACCCATTTTAGCTACAGTTGGTCCACCCTACTGTTGACCTTTACCATTTCACCTAGCATGCTACTCACATTTGACTATCTTCAGGCTGCTCTGCTCGCTTTGGAGCAACTGGTTGCGGTTTCGGTCCTCTACGTGATTGCAATTTGTGGAGGTGCAGTAGGTGCATTTGGGTGGAGTGGTAAGACATGTGCGATTTTAGGGGTATTTCAAGAGAGAGAGAGACATGCGGAATATAATCAGAATTGTAATTGAGTTATAAAAAATTCCTATAAACCCAAATGGATTCCTGTTCCTTACCTTGCGATACGTTCCGGCTGAGCGAATCAATGCTGCCACCCAAACCATTTCGAGCACTGCTATCCACAGCCTGCAAGTCCCCGGAACTCTCATTCGGCTGCAGGGTTCTTGGTACATCCGATGCGGTCTTCCAACCATCCTGGGAACCCAACAACTGTGAACAATCCAAGCCCTGGGGAACTCGCAATATGGCCACCGACAGGTACATGTCCAGGGCCTTGTGCATCACATTGAAGTACTGATCCAGCTCCTTGTGATCGCATGTCTGCCAGTCAGTCTTGTAGCCCATCAGGATAATGTTCGGCTTAAGTTTGCCAATACCCGAAGCCTGCATCAGCGCCCGAGTGCCCGATTCGAAGTCCTCACCATCCACCAAAGCATAGAAACCCTTAACACGATGCTTGCGGAACCAATTGGCTGCTCTTTCTTGCAGATATGTACGATATTTCTGGGAACTGGAACCCCTGAGGACATGACCACAAACAAGCAGCGATAAGTTCTTCGTAAGCATATAAGCCAGGTCAACGAGGACAGGTCGAGTGTTTGGCAAGCCGGAAAGAACCAAGATCTGTGGCCTATAGTTCTTCACATGCTCCTCCACATTATTCAGCTGCTGCACCGACATCAGGGCATTCTTGTATGTCTGGGCCTGTGTCGTGGAGCCCCAGTTGACATCCGGTTTCCGGTAGGCCACAATTAAGTACAGAGCCAGCACTGCCGCAAAGGTGATGAGTGCAGTGGCCCACGAGATGAGGAACATGACGGCCACGCAGAGAATGGCGCCCAGCAGGCTCAGCCACATATTGTAATACTAGAATGGATAAAATAATATTATATATTTATCTGAGAATTTTAAAATTTATTTACACACCTTAAAGGTTGGTCGCCAGCCCACTGGCTTGGCCAGACTGGCGTGGAAGGTACTGAAGTTGATCAACATGTAGGCGGCCAGGAAAAAGTTTGAGATGAGCGGGGCAATCAAGTTAAGTTCTCCAATCAAGATGAAGCTAAAGATATATAGTAAGATAAAGATATTTTTTAACACTTTCAATAGCTTGACATATCTACTTACGCCGAGGCAATGATAAAAGTAAGAACATAACCACGAACGGGCTCATTGTTCTTGCCATAACCCTTGGCGAACCAAACAATCTTTGGATACAGTTCATCCTTGCACAGAGCCTATAAAAAAATATTTATATATATAATTTTAATCTCGATATCGAATGTGGATTATCTTACCTGGAAAACCTTTGGTGCAGAAACCAAACTGGCCAAAGCCGAGGATAAAGTGGCAGCATAGCAACCTGCGTAAATAAGCGGACCAAAGCCAGAAACCAACTCAATCACCTGAAAAGAGTTCTGCAAGCCGTAATTGCATTCACCTGAAGGGGATTATATATTACAATGTTAATTAATCACTCTGCTTAATAAAAATTGTAAATAAAAACCATTACCAGGCTGACAGTCGAGGAATGCAAAGGAGCCATTGACCATATCCGTCACATTACCGGTGGCATCGCGAGCCACTGTAGCACCGCACTGCAGGACCATGATTAAATACGTTCCGGTAGTGATGATGATAGCAAGGATAGTGCCCTTGGGAATGGATTTTGAGGGATCCTAGAAAGGCAAAAGTGTACTTCAGGTTAAAGTTTGGTTATTAAAAGGTAATTTTACCTTCAGATCTCCCGAGATATTAGCTCCTGCTAGAATACCCGTAGCTGCAGGGAAGAATATAGCAAACACTGAGAAAAAATCATGTTGAATGCCGCTCTTCTCCGGCCGATAGTCAGGAAACAGATTATTTTTAAACAAAGTTGCTGTAAGGAAAACACAAAATTAAAGTTAGTAAGAGAAGTCTTCGTCATTCGAAAAGCTCACCATTGTATCCCAGGAAACCCTTAGCCACTTCCCATTCACTCTTTGGTCCGATGAAGCTGCCAATAACGAAGTCGCCAATCGCCACTAGCAAGATAATAAGTAGTCCGATTTGGGCCTGATAAAACGATAGGTAACTAAGTGCATAACTGCTAGTTAGGATGCACATTACGCATACGGACCTTGGCCTCCCACTCCATGCCGACGACCACGATGATTAAGAGCAACAGGATGGTGATGCAACCTATGATGCGTACATCCTGAACACCGCCGTCAATGATTTCCCACTCAAAGGTCGCCATCATGGCCAACATTGATTCGCAGAAGCCTACTACATACATGGCACACGCAACCGCATTCGCCAGGGAGAAAATCAGTCCAATGGAGCCACCAAACTCTGGCCCCAGAGACCGGGATATCATGTAGTAGGTGCCACCTAGACGAGGAGGAGTGTGTCAAAACCACTTAGAACCATTTAAAAGCGACCACCAGCAGGCAGGGATGATGGCTGTTAACTCACCTCCTTTGATGACACCATTAGTGCTTATCGCCGACATCGACAAGGCCGTGATGGTCGTGACAGCAGTCGTTGTCAGTATTAATACGAAGCCCTCAATGACGCCCGCCTGACCCACCACCCAGCTGAGTCGCAGGAACAGCATCACGCCCCAGATGTTCAGCAGGCATCGGACGAGGACACCTTTGATCCAGCCAAATTTCAAGACTCCATTCAGGATTCCCGACTCCGGGTCCTGATTACGCGTCAAGCTGTGCGTGTTCTGTGTTTTTACACAGAGAGAAAAAGAGGTTTCTTAGTTCTTTAATGTTAAATATGAGTTATTATCAAAAGCTTTTACCATACTCAATCTGTTTCTGTTTAAACTTTTAAGATTTTTAAGATTTTAATCAAATTAAAAGTCAAGTTAATTTTTCCTCTGTACATTAGTGGGCGTAAAGGGCAAAGGGTAGAGTGTTCTTGAGAAAATTTCAATAAAGCTGTCTAGTGTTGATAAATGATTCGGCAAACAACCTGGGGGCAAAGGTGGGGTAAATATCTGTCTTTTCTTTGGTAATTCTTAGATCAGGGAGGAACATGGAAATTTAAAGGAACCGATGGAAAAAACCCTCTGAAAACAGATGACTTCAGCTAAGGGGAATTCTGGCAAGCCGGCGCATTCCCGCAGTCAAGACATTATTAATAGATTAATCATACGCCCCGAAGCCGCAGCACCCGCTCAGCCAATTGACCTCCCGAACTTTGCACTTTTAACGAGACCCCATCTTAATTGCTTATTATTCCAAGATGTCCAAGTGACATTGAGAGAGCTCTTTTCGTAGTACATCGGACATTCTACTTAATTATCACGACATGCGCATCTTTTTATCTTTAATAAAAAAAAAGAAAAGAAAAAGAGCTTGCCTCATGGATTACATGTCTGCGAATGATATATTATTGTGCAACGCATCAATTTCTCAATGGACCTTCAGATGCAGCCCGAAGCAATTTACTTTTCTCTTATTGACAGTCATTTGCTCGGCCAATTGTGAAGCGAAAACATAAACAATTAGGCTGAAAAGTGTGGAAATCAATTAGTGCCAATTGGTGGCTGTGACTGCACTGGGTGTCTTTCGGATAGAAAACTTTTCGAAATGATTCATAAACAAGGGCTTCGAAGTCAAATGAAAAGTCAATGGACTTGTCGTCAACAGATTTCTTAGTGGCATAGTCAAATTTAATCGTTAAGTCTGCCGAAGTTATTCTATTCTGGGGAATAAATTTTAGGAAAACTGTGTAGCCCAACCGCATGAATTGCAGTTGACAAGCAATTTCCCAGGGATTTCCCAGCCTGCAGTGCCAACGACCGCCCAATTTGACTCCTGATGGCATTCGCAGTCACGCTCATGTGCCTGCGACAAAAATGGAAAATGGCAAATGGCTTTCTGGCTCAGCCGGGGTGACACTTGCCGTCGGAGAATTGACACTGCCGGGTCCGGGTCACTTCTTGGGTTAAGGGTATTGAATATTGTTTTTATTTTTTTTTTTCGGAATTTTCGTGGGGGCGTATAGGCGTAAATTTAAATTTGACTTTCACTGCGACTATGGCTTTGCCTGCAACTCGTAAAGCATTTATGGGTCTTGCGAAATTGTAATTTGTTGCCCTTGAGGGTCCTGCGGTGTGTTTACGACCCAGACGTTAATTTTCATTTAGTTCTGGCGATCCCTGGCATGGTATGAAAACTCACCTTGCCCACCAGCGTCGCGTTGTGCAGCTCGTCGAGCGTTGGACGGTAGGCCGCCTGGATGGACATCATGTTGCGGTAGTTGTCCAAACGGGGTAAGGCCTCGCGAGTGAAGTGCCTGTAGGAAAGTGAGCGGATTTAGTATCACAGATTCGAAAGCAAAGCAGAGAATACACAGTGAAAAATATTGAAAAAACCAATCAATCAATTTGTTTTAGGAATTTGGACATTCCAATGATATTTATCTGAAATTTGTTTCCATATCTTAATATTAAAATAAGTTTCTTTTTAAGTTAGGAAAGGAGTTTTCTACTTGAGTTAACTGTTAAGACTTCCAATTTTTTGAATGTAAATTTGACATTTTGAAATATATTTTTCTCTGTGTAAGAAGGTTGGGAGCAATGCAAACTGACCGGAAACTTTTACCATATTTTGTGTCATACTCGTTGTCCAGCAGCTCGCGCTCCTCCTGCGAGTCATTCGACTCGTCGGACTCCTCATTCTGCGGGTCCACCTGGAAGCGGGTCGTCGTCTGAAGATCCTTGAACCTTGACGGTTTATCCTTGTCGCGGAAGCTTGATTTGATGGATTGCCTGAGAATCGGAGACAAAGGCAAGCTATTAGGCAGCTCATTATTTTTAGGTCACATCCCCATTCTCTCTCTCCGTTCCCCTTGGTTACCACTTTAATTGGGGAGTTGAACCGAAGGCTGGGATTAGATTTAAAAGGCCAATCGTCTTGACACAGCCAGTGAACAAGGATTCAATTTTAAATCCGCAGCCAATAACTTTCATTATCAGCCAATTCAGTTCAACGAAATTCAATTGAATTTATTTCGATTTAGTTAGCTTGGCGGCCCCGTAAACCCAAACTTGCGATTTCTGATTGCCGCCCATTGTGTCGTCGTGGCCCCAGATGATTCCTGCCAGTCTGGCATAGAGCAGACGGCCCCCGGGACACGCCCACGCCTCTAGAAGGACGTTCAACCCCGAGCTCCCCTGGCTTTAGACGATAATGTGTTGCATGAGCGAGCGTCTGACATCCTGACACCCTGCTGGCTGCACCCGCTAATCGAGAGGCGCTCAAGCACCCGTGAATCAAATGTTAAATTTATAAACTTCAAATGAGCCAAACCATAATTTAATATTGTGGGAAAACTCTACTCTATGCTATTTGCAATGAATAAAATTTCCAATTTGGGCATTCGGAATGTACATATTAATTATTAAGCCTATTAAATTTGTCAGTTTATTTGCTTTTTTAGATTCCACATAATAAGCTTAATATATTGATTTAGAACATATATCGTACAAATAGCCATAAAATGGTAAACACCATTTTACACCTGCATTTTAGGAATAAATAAGCAAATTAAAATGTTGTAAATTTTATACGTAAAAAGGTTGTAAATTGATAACCAACATTGCGTATGGATAATAAATTTGTAAGCTGATAGATAATTTAGCAGTTTTTGTGGTTTACAGCGGTTTACTTCAATTATTAACATTTAAATGTGATTCTAACCATTTAATCAACTATAAATAAAGTTAAATAATTAAATGTTTTATATGGTAAATCAAAAAGTATCTCCTAGTCGAGCTAGAACCCGCAGCAAGCTCTTTCCAATTTAGTAAGCGTCTTTGCTCAATGGCCTCAAGATATTTATATGATATATGTCTTGATGTCGATGGAGCAATTTATGGGTGGCTTGTCTGGTTGGCTTTTGAGATTGCTTGGCAGCGGCGAGAACGTGAAAAGCAGCCATAATGATGATCCAGTCGATTGTATGTCAATGAGATTGATTTAATTTGGGAAAGGCAGCCTTGGCAGGGGAAGAAGCCGAGAAAAATTCAGGAATTAATTATCAATCTGAAGGAAGGGGCAGGCAGTCGCTTAAAACTCAAGAAGACCCTTAAGTAAGCTTATCATTAATTTATGCAGGAAAACGCTGCTCAATGCCTGCCAATTTGAGCCGATTAAAAGGCATTTTTATACGAAATCGCTTTCCTCATAATACGAAAACTCAGTTGCCTTGGCACTCGCAGGGAGTGCTCCTCACAGGATGTGCGGTTGGCAATAAACGGGGCCATAATATTTTCATGAGCCCTCATTACCATAACTTGGATGGAACTTTGGCCAGACATCGTCATAATGTCACGACAACATATCGAATCCAAACATTTTATAGTTGGCCAAGAGAAAAAAAAAAGCGGACAAAGAATGCCGTGTCCCTGACGATTTTCCTTCAGCACTTCCAGGACTATGCAAATTGCCTGTCCACTGTCAAATGGGGAACACAAGCGTAAATGATGGTTATTACTATATAGACTGTGATTGCTGGTATTGTTTGATTTCTGCAGGCGAGTGTTGAACCTTTCCCAGTCGACTGTTGAACCTGAGCCACAGGTCGGCAAACTTTGTTGGCCATTTTATAGATGCGAATGGTTCGATTCCGATTCCGATTTCGATTTTGAGCCGTGACTTTGTTCAGAGGCCGTGGAATTCTACAGAGTTTAATCAATGTTGAACGATTGCACTCGAAGGTGATGGACTGAAAATTACAATTGCAGCAAATGTGGCGTGAATGATTAACTGGCATCTCGTTGAGCCGACATGTTGGCACTCCACCAACCAGTTACTTGTTACTTGGCCTCCTCATATCAATCTCATCTGCATTTCCACCCATATTGTACCCAAATTATATTCATCTTCTGGATCCTTGCCAGCTCGATAATTCATTCAAGGGTCTTTTCGGCCGGAGCGATAATTCTCGGGGTGCTTTAAGGAGGAGAATTTCGGCATCCTTTGTAACCGGATGAAACAAGGGCGGAATGTTAACGCCATAATTAAGCGAGGACAAAATACAGGAGGCGACAAAAGCAATCCTTGTTTGATGAAACACTAAACAATTACCAGAAAATGAAAATGAAAAATTCAAGAAATTTCCATTCTCCGCCACAATAGACAAAGGAAAAGGTCGACTAGAAAGGGACCCCAAGGAAACCGCAACCGTTTTAAATCCGGACTGCACTCAGAGAAAAACGTTGGAACTATTTTTTTGTAACTAAAATTAGGTCATAGAACCCGCTCTAATTCTGTCTTTTTAAGGGAGGTTTAGCTCATTAATTACCGATGTTTAGGATGCGATTAATATATTTGGAAACATAAAATACTAATTCCCAACTTCTTTGCTTCACTTTCTTCCAGTGTTAAGCTGCATCCCCCTCTTTGACCCCTGACCCTGTCACCCATCCGACTCACCTCTGCTGCCTGGGCTGGTGTTGGTTGAGCATTTGTGTCGCATCGAATGTGTCGTCCTCAAGCAGCTCGCCGTCGGCGTTTGTTAGACGACGATAGACCTCGTGCGGCCCATCATCTCCGTGTCCTCCTTGTCCTACTGCTCCTGATCCGGATCCCGAACCTGGGCCATCCGGCCCCTGTGACTTGCGACTGTTTCCATTGACGGGGTTCACTTGAAACCTGTTGGGTGGCCGGTCGGCGGCCGAGCCTAACTCGAAGGAGATTGTATCCGACATCTGGGCCTGTGTTTTTGTTTGCCGTTTGTTTTTCGGGGTCCTCGCCCCGGGAAGATTTCACAGAGTGCCTTTGCGGTTTCCGTGTGCGGGTCGGAACTTTTTGGTAGCCTATTCAATCGACCCATCCACAGTGGCTAATTTTGTATGTATAGGTAGGTGTATTCCTGTGTGTGTGTGGCTTGGTGGGCAAAGCAAAATCAGGACATCCGTTACTGACGATTAAAGTGGCACTTTCCCAGCGCTTAAAGCTATCTGCAAAAGAGGAGAGCAAAAAAAGGAAAACCATAAATCAAGATGAAGTGAAATACCATCAAAAAGACCCGAATTTGCTGAATCAGTGAGTGTGCCAAAAACGAAAAGGTTTTCCTTTTTTCTAATGAAAACAAACTCGATTATGCATTTGGACATTTGGGGGGAGCCATGCATACACAATTAAACATAGTTTTGTAGTCCCAGTTCTGTCCTTTTTTCGGTTTTTGTTGTTATTTTGGTTAAGGACACTGAAATGAAAACATTTTCTTGTTTTTGCGCAGACAAAGAAAATATAAGAGTAAGCGTGTTTCTCAAGTTGTCTGAAGTTTACCCGTCTGCTTGGACCAGATGACGAGACTCCCACAAAACCCTTTTTCTTGGCCACTTAGGAAAAATAGCTTGATGGTTATTTTTTATCATATCGATGTTTGAATGTCCTGCCTTAGGTAGACTTATATTCAATTAGCTCTTTAAATTTAAAAATTAATAAAAGGCATTACTTAAAACTAAAACTCCTGAAGCTGGACTTGATTTGTTGTTATTGTATTTCCATAAATCAGTATGTTATGAAATAACTTTCTGATTTTCATGAAAATATTAGTCTCCAAAAAAATCAATTAAATAACCTTAGAAGTTCGTAAAGTAAGTTTACAAAACACAAAGCCATACACACCTTTGAAAATTAAATTTTCTTTAAATTAAAAACCCTGAATTTTGCGTAAGCCAGAAAAATGAGAAAGGCAATTTTGAAATTTATTACTGAGTTTGATATAAACATAGAAATGATTTCTGGCTATCAGATTTCACTTTTAAGCAACCCTGTTTTTGAGTGACATATAAAAAATAATCTTTTTTTAGGGACTTCAAAGTTCATCGATACAGAAATTGCGATTTGATTGCCTGGTATCCACGCCATGCCATGTCATATCGGCTTTCGCCAAGTTGAGTGTCACATTTGGGTGACGAAATCCGAGAAAGCCGCGCTGGCATTCCCGTGAGGTAATAAAAGACCTCCACTCGAAACGATTAAGGCAGTACAATGCAGCGAGTGCCGAATGCCGAATGACTAAAAATAGTCCGAACTCAAATTGATGCAAATTAATCATGATTAGTCGGTTGATTGTCGGTTGCCAGTTGCCAGGTGGAAGAATGCTTCATGGGAATCCCTTTGCTTCCACCTGCCGCCCTCTGGAGAGAGCGGAAAAGGAAATACCAAAGCGAAAGTGAAAGGGGAAAATGCGGAAACGGAAGTGACAAAGAAGTTCGCCCCAAACTGACGGGCAATTTGTCACAGTTTTTCCATGACAGCTGGTGCTGCTGTTGGCCTGCATGTGCCCGTTTATAGGTCAAGTTGAGAGCAAGACAAGTGCGAAAGGCAAACAAAGGCGGACAATTACCATAACAAAACGCCCAAATCGCATAATGAAAAACTCAAACAGAAGCGCTGAAAGAGACCGAGATAAACTGCGAGAAAGAGATTGCAAAACGCTGGCTAATTACGCCAATTACGACATTTTTACACAAATTGTGGGAACTTTGCTCAGCTTTGGTCAGGGCAGAATTTGCACGAATTTATTGCAGGCAATTAAGAACTTAATTCAATGAACCCGCTCCCGTGTCCCATTCCCATTGGCAAGCAGTCGTCCGCTGACAGTTGACAGGCATCCTGGGCAGGTGCAGCGAAACTTTTTGGCCAGCTTATCAGCTTCAGACACAAAAGGCCAACCCGTTGACCCTTCACCTCAAAGCTGTTAGCCATGGAGAGGCGCCAAAGCTGCATAGTTAAAAGTTTCCATGGCGTCAGCTGGCCTTCGACAGATAGCAAACAAATCCCAGTCCTCTGCCCAATGCACAGTTAGAAATTGTAGGAAATTCCCTTCTAGCTAGGGAAGTTTTTAGCTTTTTATTTGAATGCACAGTTGAAAGGAAATTCCCTTCTAGCTAGGGAAATGTGAGACTTTTTAAGATCTGAAATGATTTTAAACCTGATGGTGGTTACTGCCCTATTTTATTCTAGAATTTTATGATATTACACTTCCGAATAAATCTTTCTTTCAATGTGTCAAGTTATAGCCACTTCCCAACGACATTCCCCTGATTTATGACCCCATCTCTGATTAATTGGCCATTTGTGGGGTTGGGAGCCGTGGAGCTCCCGAAAACGAAGCATTTAGCAAGCCATTGCTCCACTTTGGCCATGAATTCAATGGCAACAAAGGAAAGGCGTTGCTTGCTGTAAACAAAATATATAAAAAAAAAAGGAAACGTATCAGAATAATAATTGTTGACAGTGCCACCGACATTGGGGATCCAGTTGTGATTGCCACTGAGGTTGCCTCGCGTTTTGGGAAATTTTATTTGAGGCAGTGCCCGCCGCTTTGCTTTTCATTACTCAATTCCACGCCCATTCGCAATTCAATTGCTACAATAAAATACGATTTTTACAACGTCGGTGGTATTTGGCAACAATTGCATATAAAGCTTGTACTACGCCCAGAGTCGAATTAAATGCTTAGATTTAATGGGCATTTTCCCCAGTTCCAAAAGGCAGGCTGAGGCAGCTCCATCCGCGGAGTTGCCAACTCTTTGACAGCATCAGCTGAAAAGTTCAACCCATCAAGGATATAACTTTGTAGACAAGAAAAGAACAAGTATAATATTAAAGTTAAGCAAATGCAGAGAAAGTAAAAGCGTATATAATTTATAAGGCTAACATTCAGAGGGGTATAGGTCATTAAAATACAAGTGCCTGGGAAATTTTATTGCATGACCTCAATTACAAGATGCTCGAGGCAGCAAAAAAGAGCGATGGCCATAAAACACTGGCAACTGGTCGTCAGCAAACTAAGAAGGACCTAATGACAGGACATCGCATGTCACGTGTTAGTCGCTATTGCCCCTATATTGATATCAATCGTTTTTATGCCCCCGTCAATACAATCCCAAGCGGCAATCACTGATGTGCCACGCACCAGCAAAAAACAAAACTTTTGGCCAGCCATCTGACTGACTGATATCGGTCGTATCCGTTCATCAGTGGATGACAGGAGGTCATCTGGCCAGACATACACATATATATATATGTATCTCACAGATAGGCATCAAAGCGGATTAACAAACGAAGACCCCGAAGAAAATCTGTAAGTTGGGGAAAAGCGGAAAATCCGTAGCAACAAAGTGTCAAAAACACACACAGCAGAAGTTGAGCAAGTCAAGCGTGCTGATCCGCATTGTATTACATTATTGTACGCCCACCGAAACGGCCAAATAAACTACCAACTAGCCAGCAACTTGGCAAGCAAGAAAAAAAAATAAAACAAGCTGAGAATAAAGGAAAAAAATGTGGAAAAAATGCAAAGTAGCTGGGGAGGGGCAGAGAGGATGTGGCATGGATACGAGAATACCCAAGAGAAGGAAGCTCCCTTTAAGCCAAAAAATGCAAACTGTTTGGTAATAAACAAGAATGGAAGTCATTTTGGCAATCGGGCTAATTCTTTTGGCCCACATTTCATGTCCTGGCCCAAAGGGTTGCCCGGAATTCGCCTCCAGCGAGCTTCAACCGCTTAAGCGATTAAGGAGCTATGTGACTGACAGGCATTAAAGCGTTAACGTCCATGTTGTCAGTCCTGAGAAATGATGCAACATTTCTCATTCCGCCCACAGGTTCTCGTATCCACGCACATTTTAATGGCATCTCTGGGAAAAATAAGCATCCTTCGCATGAACTGTATACCATGTTGACATAAATCCTTTCCAAGGGGGAAGACTCAGATTCATTTTGAGTAAATGAAAGACCTCCTCCATATGAGTCACTGCAAAGCAATTTCACTAAAAATGTTTAATCTACGAAGTAAGCAGGCTTTGTTATTAATCTGATAATTTGTCATTTTAATTAGATTATGATATCAGTTTAACAAGCTTAAATGTTTATATTTTGTGATAGTAGAGGTTTTAATAGGGATAATAACGATTCAAGTGACTCATTTCCTAGGAATGAAAATCAATTTAAAATTAAAATGGTTAACCACTGCCAATCACTGTTTAACCCTGACCCAATTTCGCCGAAAGCCAATTGCCTTAAACGGAAACTAATTGAACAATTTTGTAATTAATCGGCTTGAATAAATTTGGTAAGTCAACATAACTTTATCATGTGTAAAAGATATTACAATTTGATTGCCGAAAGCAACTCCTTTTGAACATCTGCCATAAAAATAAAGATTTTCCCACAGAGCCATGTCTTATTGATTTGTCTTAGCGTTATTTTAGCATAAGGTGAGTCAGACAGATATAAGCTTGAATAAATTCAAAAGTAAATATAAATAAATCATCTGTATTAAAGCAAGAGAAAATGTTGCAATAGCTCAAGGAAGCAACCATGAAAAACTTTCTCAATAATCTAGAAATAAACTCCTAAACCTTGATTTCCTTTGTAATAAATTGAAAAGTAATTCCATAAACTCTATATTGACAGTTTGTAAGCGTTTGTTTATTTGTTTACTACACTATTTTGAACTATTTATTTTTGTTGTTTAAAATTCAAATGAAATCAATTCACCTCAAACGCTGCCGTTGGAGTTCGTGATCTGACGAGTACGTATCTCCCACTTGAATAGTTATTCCACTCACCGAAGTCGATACAAAACGTGTGACGTGCTGAAGTTAAAATGGTAAACAACAAGTGGCAAGTGAAATGCTTTAAACAAATGGAATAACGAAGGCAGTCAAGTGTTCCACAATAAGTTTCTCTGCTCAAGAAAAGCGTGAAACAATAAAACGTAACAAGTTTGTGGGACACTGGGGATTGACCTCACCCAATATGAAAAACCGGATCCGGGGACCAGGACAAGTTGGCCGCGTTTTGCGGCACACACACACTTGCTTATTTATATATCATATGGTTTTTCGGTTATAAATTTCAAATGAAAATAACCATAAATAATATTTCGCGGGCTTTTTATGCCCCAAACAGAAGCCTCTGGGCTGGACGATACAACAGG